ATGTTGAGTAAATGATGGCAGAATATACATTTTGGGTAAACTATCCCGTTAAGCTTAACGGACATGATGTGGATATGTTAGGTTATATGTGCAAGCAGCTTATTTCAACTTATAGTTACGTTTTAATTTAAGCACCCTCTAGCCACAGTAAAAAAATAATGGCAGTGTCGTATTGCGTGTGCCGTCATGAAATGATGTATTACTGTCGTTACCAATCAAAATGGGTCTTCCTTTAAATGCAATGTGTGGACTATTTACACGGTCCCTTGCACATCCATTTTTCCCATTTCATATTGGTAAAATTAACATTTATGCATTTGCCAGACACTTTGGAGAGCAATTTACAGTGCATTCAAGGTATATAGTTATCGGTATATGTGCTCATTTGGATCGAACCCATGATTGTTGCGTTACTACAGCACAATGCTCTACCACTCAAGCTACACGAACACTATATAACACAATATATTATTACGAACATTTCTGCGGCATGGCCTGTTTCCAGTAGGGGTACCTAATTTAGTAAACGCTCCTATGGGTCATATTTCAGGGAAGTGACAAACAATCATACGGTCGTATAAGTTGGAGGACATGTTGGAATCATATTATTTAAAATGCAATGTGATGTTGTGTTTATAGTATTTGTACATGGTATTTGCATCCTAACACGCATATAATTAATATTCAACAACACCTGGCAAAACCTCACATAACCAACATCAATGTTTCATAATCTTTTGATCTATGTTCATAACACTGCTGTATTTCCTCTAAACTGTGTGCACACCCACACAAGGGTTTGGATGAGCTGTTCTAGCACAGCTGGCGTAATGCATTCATAATATTTCCCCTGCAGGGCCTTTAATGTGAGTGTGTGTGTGTGTGAGTGGCTAAGCAGAAGAGTCAGCGGTGATCCTGCAGGCCTGTAACGGATGCTGGCTGTTTGTTGTTAAATGTGACGGATGGGGGATAATGGATCTGATTGTGGCAATGATGTTTGCTTGCATCCGCAGCCTGTCCTGAAGGCGGTCTCTGGGAACACTGTGTCACTGTCGGGCCCTGTTTGATGAGGTTTGTTACTGGCCAGTCTGTCTGTCAGCACGCTGGGCTCACTCTAACCACCCCAAATCGACCGAACAGAACCGTGGGCTTCATCAGCTCAAGGTCAGTCTGTAGTGTACCCAGCGCCATCTGACTCAGACTGGACAACAGCTGCTGACCGGAGAGCAAGAAGCAGAGGGGCAGCGAATACACACACATACAATACTGCAAAACATGAGTCACACTGACACAATGCATGAATGCATCAGGGTAAAAATAAGTAGGGGGAGATTGGGGAATAGCTGCAACACTTGTGTCTAACTGTTAACATCTCTAGGTGTTTTGGTCATAAATCTGTCAAACTTTAAAAGCAGACTTCAAGAAATGATGTTAAATACAAGGAGTTCCAATACCAGAGTTGAGTTAACATGTAACAATAGGTCTTTTCACACCGCACTTACCAGAACAGTCATTCTAAACCCCGCTTTTAACCCTAGGTATGTCATGGCAGGTCAAGCTCGAAGACAAGGAGAGGCGAAGGATCTAATTGCAGGACTATTACATTTATTCAACAAAATCAAAAGACAATAAAACACAGGAGAAAAACAAACAACACCAGACAAAGGACTGAACAAACTTAGGACAACATACATACAGTGCAGTTAATAACACAACTAGAAACGTGTGTGCAACTATGATAATAAATCAGAAGCGGGAACAAAGGAAACGTGAACGAAATGCAGGAAAACTAAAAGTCCATGAAACAGAACGTAATCATGACAGGGTAAAGGTAATGTACATTTCACACTTGCAACTTAGAAGCGGGGTTAGCACTGCTTATCACCCGGTTTTGCAGAGTCAAACTTGTAACAGTATGTGGTGTTAAAATGTTACACTGTCACGTAGCTCATATTCATGTGCTTTGGACAGTTCTGGAAACGCAGCACGTTGTATGAACAGTTTTAGCATTTGAGGGGGAAAATGTCAAATGGTGGCGGAAATGGAAGTGGAATTGGAGTGAAGAAGAGACCAAAAAGCCCATTCAGAAAACATTTGATAACACAGTCGCCAATATATAATACAAGGATGCGCAGTGCTAGAGCCTTCATGTAAACAAATCGAGTGCTGTGTTCATCGAATCAATGACACTGACACCGCAAATATGCAAATAAAAATATTAACCCAGGTTTGGGAATGTACAGTTTGAAATGTGAGTTTATGAATACCCAGGATTAGTTGTAAACCCCATGTCAATTATGAGCAGTGTGAGGTGGGAAAAAAAACAACCCAGGATTCCTGTTACCCGGGATGGAGAATGACCCAGTGTTAATGATTTAAAGTGTGAAAAGTGCTAAAATGAAAAAATCAATTCAAAAGTTCAATTACAAAAAATAAAAATAATAATCCACATAATATAGCTCTCATTTTACTAAGGTCGAACAACAAGCATAAGAACAACATGCGTGTGTGTGTTGATATTTGTATACATTCTACCGTTGTTAAAGGGATAGTTCACCCCAAAAAATGAAAATTATGTCATTAATTACTCACCCTCATGTCGTTCCAAACCCGTAAGACATTCGTTCATCTTCGGAACACAAATTAAGATATTTTTGATGAAATCTGAGAGCTCTCAGACCCTGCATAGACAGCAACGCAACACTAATGTTCCCAGGTCCAGAAATGTAGTAAGGACATCGGTAAAACAGTCCATGTGACATCAGTGGCTCAACTTCAGTTTTGCGAAGCTATGAGAATACTTTTTGAGCGCAAAGAAAACAAAAATAACAATTTATTCAACAATTCTTCTCCCCCGAGTTACGTCTTCCGCCATTTTAGAGTATCACAACACATACGCAAGCTTTCCCCTAAGCGTAAACAATGCTGATTACGCATATTACGCTCAAGCGCGCGCTTTCTCCCCTGAACGTAAACAACGCTGATTACGCAGATTACGTTCATGTGCGCGCTTTCTCCCCCGAACGTAAACAACGCTGATTACGTTGATTACGCTCTTGGGTACTCTCCAAAATGGCGGAAGACGTAACTCGGGGGAGAATTTGGGATCGGTAAGGTTTTTATAATTAATATTTTTGTATTAAGTCTCTTATGCTCACCAAGTCTGTATTTATTTGATCATAAAAAACACAGTGAAACAGTAAAATGGTGAAATATTACTACAATTTAAAATAACTGTTTTCTATTGTAATATATTTAAAAAATTTATTATATTCCTAAAAAGGCAAAACGGAATTTTCAGCAGCAGTTACTTTAGTCTTTTGTGTCTCATGATGATTTTGCTTAATATTTTTATGGAAATGGTGATTATTTCATGAACAGAAAAAAAATATATATGTATATATATATATATATAAATTTTTTTTTTTTAAACAAAACACATTTAATATATTTTGAATAATACATAATACATGTTGATTTAGCTTCTCAACTTTAGCTTTCGGGTTTTAACGTTTAGGTTGTATTTTTGTGAAAAATATTATATTTTTTAACCCATATTTTTTAATTAAAAATAATACAATTTATTTCCACTAATGAAAAATGTAACTCTGTTGTTACATAAAATATACATGAAACTGCAAGTGACACCAGGAACAAAGTGGTTACAGTATGTACACTTATGACAACATGACTACCAATTATATCCCATTTTCTGTGTTCATAAGCATCATTACACCTAATATTACAGTCATCCCATCTATCCTATGCATGATATTGAATTCCTCCATACTATCAGAGACCAGTCTAAAGCATTGCTTTTGGTTTGCACATCTAGTCCAAAGGGGGGAAAAGAATGCAACATGCTACAGTGAGTTTTTCTAATGGAGATTCAGAGCCATTTATTTCTGGTATAACGGAGAAGAAAGAGCCTGCTGTACAGTACACAGTAGAGCCTGTAGTGAACTGGATGTGGGTCAGAGAAATTCTGCATATCTAGGTCATACCGAATCGTACTGAGGCTAAAGCCTTCTCTCATTCTGGCTCACCTATTAATAAAGCCCATAGGGGAGACACAGATTATAATTCTGCCTGTGATGCTCTATATTCACAAATCACAATCTCATTATTTAGCCAGACAACAAAGCTGCACAGTGCAGTGAAGAGGTAAATCATAGGGAATATAGCTATTATATACTGACTAGCTCAGAAAGAAAGAAAGAAAGAAAGTCATGCAGGTTTGGAATAACATGTGGGTGAGTAAATGATGACCCCTTTGACAATAGTAAAAATTTCAGCAGCCAGTTGGCACAATTGCACAAGATAATTTTAGGTAAATTTAAGCTTAATTTGCATCTAGTTGGGTTACCTTAATATCTGTTCCACAAGAGATATTCAACAGCAAAAAGAAAAAAAAGAGAAAACTGTGCCAGCTAACCCCGCTCTCCCTTTCTGTGACAAAACATCTAGTCATTGGGGGAAACGCTGCAGATTTTTACAACTGTTGGTATCGAAGTTCCCTTGGTTAACAGCAAACTCTGAAAAGCAGGACAGAATGAGGTTATAATATATCCGCTGGAGAGGTGCATTTTAAATGTAGGTAAAATAAAGGGAGTGACAACAATGGCAAAAAATGAACCATATCCTGCCATAAACAGTATCCCATATTTGCTGTCTTTAAGCCACACATTTGGCTTTGGTTTTTAAAGTGCCCCTGTTATGCCATTTTTAAGGTTCCTAATATTGTTTTGGGAGTCTCCTACAAAAGGTTTACATGCATGCATGGTCAAAAAATGCTTTTGTTTTCTCAAAATATGCATTTAATACCTCATTTTCCAACGATTCGCAAATTATTAGTTCAAAGCAGTTCTAAGATTTAGTCTCTCTAAACCCCTCCTTTCGGTAAGAGCATCTTTAAGAGAGTCTTTAATAAAATGAAGGAAACACAAAAAAAAGATGGGGTTGTACTGCTGTGGTCCAGTGGGAAAAAAAAATATTTTAACCACTGACTCTTTGCAGCTTCATCTTTCGGAAGTGAAAATAAAATGAATTTACTTTCACAGCGTCTTCGACACAAACAAGCTACAGTGTTTGAGGGCGGGTCAAGTTGTTTGCAGCCGGCCAACTTAGAACGTAGGCGGGAATTATGCAGATGTATAACCCTGTGACGTGTAGCCATCACGGAAGTGGGATTCCAATTACTGACGACTCGTCTAGGCTGTTCAAAATCGATTCTTTCTTTTGGGAGACAATAACTTTATTTATCATGCACTTTCGGCTTTACAACTTTGCATATCGTTTACATTCACATACAGCTACACACTGCATGAAAGGCAATATTCAAAATGGCATAATAAGGGCACAGTAAGCCTCATGTGCAAAATGTTATGGTCTAATCTTTAAAGTGAAGTGAGTACTTTCAGCACCACTAGCATCACCAAACAGAAATGGTTTCCCGAACACCCCACATCCTGTCTACCATTGGTCAAACAAACCAACCAATGTTTAGAAACAGTTGGAACAGACATTAAACATTTAAATTAATTTAACATTCATAATTACATCACATTTAATAGCTGCATATACATGAAGAACAACATAATAATTCAATCATTTGATAGAGGAGAAACTTATTACTTTATCTAAAATAGAGACTGCTGTAGTTTCCTCCAGCTATTGCACTGCAGTACGAATATAATTTAGTGTTTTTAGCATAGCCAGTGTGTATGAGGCAAAGACAGCTTCCTCAGTCTGCTATATTGTCAAGGGAGCTGTCAGACGGATTTGGTAAATAGAGAGAGAGCACAGCAAGTCATTTTCAAAATCTTCCTGCTCGACTGTCTTTTCCAAGAAGGCTTTAAGTGAGAGTGCAACTATCTGCTTTCATGTTTACGGCTACTGAACCTTATAATGAATCTGCGAGATGTTTGTAAAACCACAACCTCTCAAAACAACAGAAGACGCAAAGAACAGTACTGCACTACACCATAGGGCTCCTATTCTAAACATCCAACAAGACCCACTGCCATACATACATAAATTTGGCAAACAGTTGTATAAAATCTCTTGTTTTTGCTATGTTTACAATAGCATACTTCCATATGACTCTGCTGTAAGCAGAATGTATAGTGTATGAGGTATGTAAATATTCTGCATGAATGAAATACCTGGTTGTATGCCAAACTACAGAGTAAAATGTGTATTTCTTTCACAAGTGATGGTACAATATAATACAATAATAATATAATAATATTTTGTAATATTTTAATATTTATGGTGCTTGCAAAAAATAAATAAAATAATAATAATAATAATTAATAATAATTAATAATAATGATATTATTATTATTATTATTATATAACTGTATTTATTTATTTTTAATAATTATCTGCCCAAACACCCAAACTCTAAAAAGATGACATTTTTACACAAACACTTATTTTGCATAACATATTTAGAGGAATCAGTCTGGTTTACTATCCTTGTGGGGACTCTTCATAGTTCTTATACTGTACAAACCATATATTCTATCGTCCTACACCGAACCTACACCTAAACCTACCCCTCACACAAAACTTTCTGTGTTTTTAGATTCTCAAAAAAAAAAAAAAAAAACTCATTCTGTATGATTTATAAGCTTGTTTCCCCATAGGGACCTCGATTTAGTCAGTCCCCATGAGTCAATGTGTATTCAGGGGACATTCCATAGGTGTAATATTTTTTTCTACTGTACAAACTGTATTTTCTATCCCCTTACCCTAACCCTACCCCTAAATCTACAAAAAAAAAGGCTATTCCAATAAGATACAGTTACCAGAGAGCCTAAAAAAATCCTGAACTTCTCAACTCAAGCTGAAAATTTGTGTTTCAAATAGGGGTGAATGACTCACAGGGGTTGTCATTCAAAAAAAAGAAAAAAGAAAAAAGTGGTTTCCTGGATTCTCATCTCTAAGACAGTTTTCTGTCATGGAAGGGCAACCATTCAAAGACATCATTCCCATGTTATTTAACCCAGATTAAAGGGCATAGTGGCGATAAACCTGGGTGCTTTGGATACCTTATATCCCAAGCAATTTAAACTAAGGGGGGATTAACGCCGGAGATCCGTATTATCTAGACCTCGAGGGTTTTAGTGGGTCAGGGGATGCAATAGCAGGACCCATTTCCACAGGATTTGGCAGCTTTGATCCCACTCTCGCTGTTATGGCTGGCAGGCTTAGCCCATGGGATGAGGCACTGGCCCCGTGGCTTAATCTGGTTTAAGTGGCACCCATGAACCACTTCTGCATGTCTCACTCGAGCAACAAGAATCCACCCATCTTCCTGTTCAAACCCAAATAGAGATCACCTAGAAAACACGGACAAAGATTCTCACTTTAGGATAATAACACAGACTGCCAGGCACAGATTGAAAGCGCTGCAGGATGGATTCATTGTGCTGCTCTTGAGTAATGCTGGATGCTGGAACTACAGCTGTTACTGAGATGCTACTCAACTAAAAATTAGGCATCTTGCTTTATTTTTGCCCCTTTTTGTACAGTCCATTAAATGTATATGACAATCTTTGATATTTAAAATTACATGAACAATTATAAAAAGCACATTTAACTTAGGGATGTACAGTATATTATGACTACCAATATCAGACTAAAGCAGATTTTTACATCATGTCTATTTAGTCTGATTAGTCCAATATTGAAAACAGAATAATATCATATAATGGCTCTTTTCAAATATTTCTAGAAAGCCCAGCATATGACATTTAGGACTAGATACATACATTGTGGTCAGAAATTAAGAATTCAGTCTCTCATTTTAGTAAGTTGTGGCCACTACATACTAATTGATTTTCTTTCACATTGTTTTAGTACAACGTGGCCACGATTTACTAAAACATGGAAAATAATTAATTCATGGCCACTATAAATAATTTGTCTGCATGTCTTGTGTGGGGCATTGCAATTTTCTTTTCTACTAGGGATGTAACGATTACCGGTTTGACGATAAATCATGATAAAATTCCCCACGGTTAGTATTACCGTTTCATCTTTTAATTATCATTAAAACCGTCACTGTCGTCAGAAACGATTCAATGGCATTTTGTTGTCATCTTCGCTCCATGTAATACCTAAAGGAAGTGTTCTTAATCGCAATACTGCTTTGTC